CCAATCCCAACCCCTGAACCCAGTCCAAAAGGATACTATGGCTGATGGTACTGAAAGCCACTGAGAAATCAAGAACTTCAAGGGGGCCTTAAAGTTAGAAGCCAACTATATGAGGTCATGGTAATTGATTATAAATTGAATTTTCTCAAAAGTGGTTAATAATTTGTATTAATTCAGAGAAAGTTAATCTAGCATACTTATGATAGTATGAATATATGGCAATACCCTTATAAATGCAAAATGTTCAAGGACAAATTAAGAGTAGTTGTTACTTTATATCCTTAGAAGCATAACAGAAAAAAAGATGCTAATTTAGACCAATCTTTGATCTGGTTTATCAGGGATTTGTAAAGTTTTATGATATGTTCATAAATATATCAAGTTTTATTTAAACTGACAAATGTCTGGTGCTATAAACTCTGTATAATAATTCTTCCCATTCATATTAATGAAAATTCTTTCACAAGATTTGAGAATTTTGAACTGGAAATGGAAGACGTTTCATTGACAAGTAGCTTGCATTGCTGATTGGAATCCCCTAATAGACTTTTAGCATGAAATATAAAAAGAAATTTGGAAGCTACTTGTTTTTATACTTTCTTTCTTCCCTGCACTTTTGACTTTGTCATTTTCTTTTTTCTGCTTCTTTTTCTGTATTCTAAATATTAATTCTTATTAGTTTTTAATCTTACTTTTTATTTTTTTTAATAAAGGTATATAAAAAGAACAAATAGTTTGCATTATAGTGCAATTTTGCAGCTATTTTATAGTTCTATATATCTGGATGATACTTTCTATTACTCTCTCTTAGGACATGCCTATGGGTCAGTATAATTTCCAGCGTTGTAGAGAAAGGTATGTGCAATTTGTAAAGACCTCAGTGTCATGGAAAACCATGCTAGCTTACTCAGTAATTCTGCACAAGCATTTATTTTGATAGCCATGATAATTTTGCATAACTATTAAGGTAAGAGGATAAATGAAATAATTCAAATATTATAAAACCTTGTCAGCTTAATTTAGGCAAGATAGTAATACAAGATAGCTTTTTTTATTAAAAGGAATTTGTTGGTAGAATGAAATCATCAGCAAAACAAAAAGATACGTTCTAGACTGAGTAATTGTAATAATTATTTTGAAATCTTGTCAAAATGTTACTGATGTAATTTTTAAAAGCATTAAAACTGTGTACCAAATGTGAAATTCAGACAAGTATTGAATGTGATGATGGTGTTAATAATGCTACAGGATATCTCTCATTAATAATTATTCTAAAACTATAGTTGGCACTTCTATGTTCTCTGGCTACTTTCTTTGTCAGACCACCTCCTTCCATTCACTATAGTTTATAGGTTTTATTTTCTTTAGTCTTCCTCGTTGCTTCACATTCATCTTCCCCATCTCTTCATCAAACGTAGCTAATCCTGCTTTTCAGATCATTACTTTATTTAGTTATCCTATCTGTCAATCAGCCTTGCTAGTTTTTCTTCTCCTTTCCTTCTGTGGCTTCTGATCTTAAATATTCTCAAGTTCTTTAACATTCTTTCTTTTTGAGTATTCTCCTCTACTATATTTCTTATGCCCCTTTTTCACTCTGTTCTGAAGCTCTTTCTTTAGCTTCTTTGTCCCTCGGATTGATTTTGCTTAGTCCTTAGATCCTAGATAATTAGGATTGAAATTTTAGTTTCAGAAACTAACATTTTCTCTTCTTCAAAGAAGCTAGGCTTTTGTCCTTAAGCATTTGAATATTTCAAGAGATCATATGAGCCAAATCAATAAGTGTCAAGATATTTCCCACTACAATTGCAATAGGATTTGTATACTATTTCTCTAGTAAAAATTAGAAATGAGACTTGTTAAGAGGGAAGGAAGATCATAAATAGTGGCATTCTCTGTACTGCAACCCTCAGGACCCAATAATGTCTTCATCATGACCTTTGGGAGTCACACATATGGATTATGGATCTGTACATAGCCTATTGAGCCCTGATTGTTGGTAGCCCTGCCCCCTCCCACCATGCAGGAGCTAATCATCCTTTATTGAAATTATTTGTTTCCTTCAATTATAAAAATGTATTTACTCTTTTCTCAACTCATTGTGAAGGGATATGTTAACATCTATAGCTCTATAGAAATACATCTGCTAGAGCTGCGATAGCTTAAGTCAAGCTAATTATCTAGAAAGTTTGCATAGCAACAAATGCCAAGTGGTTTTCTACTGCCTTTTCTCAATATCTTTATTCAACTTTCCCATCTAACTTACAGCTTGAAATTCCTTGATAGTCTCCCATTCAAGTTTTGACTAGGCCAATCTTGACCACTTTGTCCCATCAGACAAAGAGGTAAAATTAGTCATATCATATCAAGTTCTGTATTCCATGATGTTATAGAAAAGCAAGGCAATTTTCCCAGTTCATTGGAAACAAATTGTATAATTATATCGCTTCATTTGAGGCTCCATTCTAACATTGCTAAAACCATTGAGTGTAATTAGTAACATCCTGTATCAAAGTTTATGTTCCTATTAAGCAGTTCATTTGACTGAAATAAAAAGAGGTGTATGTTATGTCAGTCTACAGTCACCTCAGCAATATTTAACATTACGTTGTAAAATGAAAAGCTGGTAGCAAATATGGATCACTACAATATATGTCAATTTCTGCTGGCCTGCTACAGAAAATAGTAATAGTAATATATTGGCCTTCTTTCTGCTTTTTTCATTGCTTTTATTTTGTTTGCCCTAAAGAGTGCCAAACAGATAAGCAATAGCATTTAGGCTTATATACTGTCCCATAGCGCTTTATAGCACTCTCTAGGCAGTTTACAATGTGAGCATTATTTGCCCCATCAGGATTGAACTCCAGGCTGTGGGCAGAGTTTGCTTGCAATACTTTAAGCACTGTGCCATCAGGGCTACAACTTACGACCACAGTTAAGCCTGAAATTTTGTTCATAGGTTTTTGTGGTTGTAAGTTGAGTCACCATGGGGCTGGACTCAATTTTATTACTCTTTTTATTATGACAGTTAATCAAGTCACCATAATCGTTAATGAATCACATGATCAAATCCAGCTAATCCAATGGGTGCTTTTTGCAGGAAAACACAAAAAAAATTTAAAAAAAAATCTGTTCATGTAACGGCAGATACTGCAAGCGGTTGTAAATGCAAGCTGGTTGACAAATGCCCAAAGTGCCATCATGTGACCACAAGGAGTGTGTGACACTCATAATTTTGAGGATGGGTAGTAACTTTTTCCAAAGCCATTGCTATTTTGAACACTCATTCAGGCTACCAGTCATAAGAGGAGAATTACTTGTATTTTATTTAAATTTCATCTTTCAGGATGCTAACTTCACTCCCTCTTATCTCTGCAGAACAAAATCTCAGAAGAAAAAATTTGAAGAGGAATTAAACGAAAGGATGATTCAAGCAATTGATGGAATAAATGCTCAAAAGTATGTTTGCCCACAAAGTTGTTTGTAGCACTGCTGTTCATATTATGGAAGTAAGCACTGAAGCCCCTTGAGAAATCTGCAGGCAGAATGTTTTGAACTGGAGTTGGCGGAGCCTATTTCAAAATAGGAACCGCACTGTTCCCGTTCTTCCCAGATTATATGATGACACAGAATAGAAAAATATAAGCTGTTCTATGACTTAACTGTCTGTTGGGCAAGAAATCAATATTTTATTGATCTACTGGAATTTAGTGACCAATATTTTATTCAAAATAGATGAAAAGAACTGAACATCTATTCTGATCACATTAGCTCTGAAACCTGAACAGAGTTATATTTACATTCCTTCCCTTCCTATAGCAGCATTCTAGGGTACTTATTGTCACATAGAACTGTGGAGTAAAAGATCTTATTTTGACTTGCAAGCTTCTATGTAGATCATGAAATTTACATGTAAAAATTAATTATTGTTGCTAAGTTAAACACTTCTTGTTATACTACACTATTCAGCCCTTATTCACAAGGTTGCAGTCTAAAACTGCCACCAACTTTAGAAATCATTCCTACATTGCATATTTAGACTGATACAGTTTTAAAAGCCTGGCCAGTGTAGATTGATGGAAATCTATGGTTCCTATTCACAGGCTCCCCTAAAGAAGAGAAATTGCTGTTGAACTAGTGTATTTCTGTTACCTAAACACGTCCAACTGTTTGATTTCCTTTATGAAACAAATTTATTTTTTCTTATCTAAGTCTCCAGAAAAAAATATTAGCAGGTTATGTTTAATGCTGTTATGGTTTTTCTTTTCTTTTCTAGGCAGTGGCTTAAATCTGAGGATATTCAAAGAATATCATTGCTTTTCTACAATAAAATCTTGGAAAAAGAAGTGAGTTATAGTTAAATTATAAATTCTATTTTACATGTATTTCCCAAATTCTCTAGTCAATAAGAAAAAAGGATGTAGCTTATAGTTATTCATACCTGGAAAATGCATGACTTCTTTTATATTATGGGAGATTAGGTTCCTTTTTTAATATATAGTTTTGTCTTTGATATAAATTTTCATGAATTTGAGTTTGCACATAGGAAAAGAATTACAGAAAAACCCAGAAACCAAATAGGAAGGGGTGAAACTTTGGCTGTATTTCCTGGCTATCGGAAAATGTGAATTTCCTGCATACTCTTCAATTTAATATATCTATTACTTAAGTCAGAATTTTGCAAAAAAAAATCTAATTAATCAAAGTAATTGAAGTTGAATGATTTCAATGCTATAACAGCTTTTAGAGAAGTCCAATAGATGTAGGAAATCAAAATATTTAGTATCATGTTGATTATTAATTGGTACAGACCCTCTTTCAGAAATGAGCTGAATGACATCAGTGATTGAATGACAGCCACCTATGATAAAGTTATCCTCAGTCCTCATTAACAATTCATCTGTATCTTGGTTTTCAGGAATAGCAATAATCATCCCAGAGTTTCAAAATCAATTTGTGTTACTCATTTTCATGTGTGGGAGGTTAATAGATCCTATGAACCCATTAAACCTGCTTTTTTCCTGAAAAATCAAGGTACAATTGAGATAAAGGGAGTCAAGTTAGCATCCTAAAGGATTATACTACAATTCATGTAATCCTAAAGGATTGTACTGCAATTCAGTACTTTTGCTGCTCTTATGCATTTCAATATGGTTGTTTGTGGAAGTTGTTCCATAATTCAAATGGCATGTATCCCAAAATGAATAATTTATGAGAGTTTCATTTCTGTGGAGCATTTTTAAACTTTGTCAATAGAGAAAATGTAATTTAATATAAATGTAATTAATAAAGAAGCTTCATAATGCTTATTGATGTTTTGAAAAAGACATGGTTGGCTCAGGTTCACCATACCAATGGGGCCTGTTATCAATCACAGTGAATTAATTGATAGAGGTCATCATTAATTAATTGATAGAGGGTATAATTAATTGATAGAGGGTATAAATTTAATAAAATCAAAATCAAAATCAAAATCAAAGGCATGGAACCTGTTCAGGATTTGTTATGGATAACTCTTCTCTACTGGATTTCAGCAGTTAGAATTTTCGGTTATATTGCCTCTGGATATTGAAATTTAGTTTAACTATCATGGTTAATAACTATAGATCAACTATAATCTTTTAGTTCTTTCCATCTTTTTGTTTAAAGCCATAAAGCTATCTAGATAAAGGATACCCTCGTATCAGTAAATATTTTAAAATGCAATAGGTATCATAATTTACTTGTAGTCATTTTTAACAAAAAAAATATTTTGATTTTTTTTGTAATCTCTCTTTTTCTTTTAGTATAGAGCCACAACCCTTCCTGCATTCAAGTACTACGTAACCTGTGCCTGTCTTATATTCTTCTGCATTTTTCTTGTGCAGATTCTAGTGCTACCAAAGTAAGTGAGTGATGTACAGTATACCTTTTTTTTGCTTTTATCTGTGGAACCTCTTTTAGACTGAATTGGACTTGTCTATAATCACGTCATATTGGCAGTTTTGTTTTGTTTTGTTTAAAAAATAACACCCTACTTTATGTCTAGTGAAAAGGTTTACTTTATGTCTATTTTGTCTTTTCCACCACCATCTTCCTTTGTTCCTTCTTCCTTATCAGTTTGTCTTTCTTCAGAAGGAAAATAATGCAAGCCACTCCAGACTGGTCATGACCTGATCACAATTAGATTTGGTGCAAGACTTTATCAGAGATATCCTGACCATTTATTCCCTTGGATTTTTTGTTTTTTAACAAACCCCCAACAAAGATGTAGCACTTCCCTTTTTTCACTTCCGCTTGGTGGCGTGTGATACTATTAACCTTGTGCCTTAAAAGTGCTTTTTCAAAAGACAACTGGACTTTGGTTTTTTCTTGAAGACGTTTGGCTTCCCATCCAAGAAGTTTCTTCACGTCTGACCAAATAATAGATGATGGAAAGATTTATATTCCTGGATGCCCCATTTGGTCAGAGCTGAAGAAACTTCTTGGATGGGAAGCCAAACGTCTTCAATAAAAAGCTGTCAACTTTGAAAATGAGCATGGCTGCGGCCATCTTCCTTATTCATTTTCAGTTGACACATTGAAAGGAGGGAGGGGGGATTGCCAGGTGCTTCGCTAGTCTAAATAAACTTTTGTCCTGTGGGAATCAAGGTCATCGACTGCTCCTGAAACTGCAGGCTGGGCATTTCATGAAAAGCCTGCCAAGAAGAAGTATTGGGTAACGTAGTTGCTTGCATTGCCTTAAGGGTGGGATTTCTTAACTTTGTGTGGGGGAATTGTTACGTGTGTCTTCAGACTTGGTTTCACTTTTGATGTACCGATACTTTGTAACTAATAAACATGTTCTTTGAGGAATTTCCAAGCCTCGGATTTCTGCTTTATTTGTCTCTGTCTGTTGGAACCTTGACAAAAGCACTTTTAGGATAGCTATGACCTGGGTGACTGAGAATCTCCATAAACATTAACTTTGTGTCTCTTCAGCTGCTATGCAGCTAAAAGGTTTTGCTGCTGATTCAGCCAGCAAATCTAGTCATAATCTATGGGTTTTACACCTTTGCTTTCAGATATTCATATAAATATACTTATTAATAAGATTAATATCTTGGTAATTCATTCCAAAACCTGCTGAAAGGCCAGTTCCAATTGTCACCCTATAACAATAATTCGGAAGTCTTTTTGGCTGAACAGCAGCAAGGCAAGGAAACATAAAAATTACTTTGACTCAAGTTTGAGCTCTGGTGACCTCATGACTAGGTTGTAGTTTCTCAAGATCAGACAAAGTTAGTTCTGTAATGCCTTCTAGTGTACAGGTAGTCCTCGACTTACAACAGTTGATTTAGTGACTATTCAAAGTTAAAATAGGATTGAAAAAAGTGATTTATGACCAGTTTTCATACTTAGCAATCCTTAGCATGTGATCATGTGATCACCTTCTGTGACCTTCTGACAAGCAAAGTCAGTGGGAAAGCCAGATTCACTAACTGCAGTGATCCACTTAACTCACTCAACAAATTTTTCACTTAACCACAAAAATGTTTGGCTCAATTGTAGTCATAAGTCAAGGACTACCTGTATTCACTTATGGCATCTTTCATCAGTTTACTCTCTCGGTGTCTTAATGTTCACAATTCTTTCTTTTTGCTAATTGCTAGCTGGGACTTTATGAGAGAAAATGTCCTCGAAGTCTCATCAAGGAATGGATTCACTGTATTATCAAACTTATATTCACTGCAGCAGTTCAGAAGATTCTGAAATATTTTGTCTATTTTATATGTTTCCAGACTCCCAACAACTTTGGGTGGCTCATCACTAAAATACATATGGACATATATGGCCTGTCCAGAAAATTGAATGATGGGGAAATATTCTAGGAATCTTTTTCATGAATTCTCTTTTCATATAAAAATTATTGAGCCCATTGATTATTATTTATTGACTTTAACAAGGTCTTATATACAGTGATATTTGATTCTGACTCCATTGGGCAGAGGGTCATCACATTGTATATTTTCCCAATTTTACAACTAACTAGATTTATTTCTAGGTGAAAGCACAAAAATCATTTTAAAAATGAAACTGAACAATCCTTTCATAATTCAAATGTATTACTTTTTTACATAGGAAACTTTCAGGGTATTGAGTTGAAGGTTGAAGCAGGATTTTCAGCACACTTAATTTTGAAAAGTCAACACTTAGTGCTCTGATTATTTGAAAGCAAATGAAGCTCACAAACTCTTTCTCTCTCTTACTTCCTCTTTCATTTCTATGCCACTCATTTATATGAGGTCTTTTTTGTTGTACCTGATAGAATGGAGACCTGCTGCAAATGTTTATATTAAAAAAAATTAACAATGAAACTCTTATGTGTTCCAAACATTGGCTCTAATTGAAATCTTTTGAAAGTTTCATGAATGTACTTTCAAAATGGAAAAGAACAGACTTGGAAATTATCAGACTTAATCTAATGCTTTTAAAGATGAAAATTATCTCTCTCTGGTTTTCCTACAAGAATTTATCCCTGAATTTCTTTTTCATACACATACAATATAATTAAAGACAAAAATAAGTATTTAATATTGAATTTCTCAAACAAACAGCTGGCCACTATGGAATAGAACATCAACAGAATTGTTATGTAAATCCAACAACAACATTAATATTTTTTCCTGCCTCTTTTGTGTGTGGGGGGGTGTCTTCTCAAGATGGTGAACATATCTAAAACTCCTGCCTCCTGTTTTCCCCATGACATCTGGTGGGTGGGGCTGAGGGAAAGTGACTGGCCCAAAGTCACCCAGCTAGCTTTCATGCCTAAGGGAAGGCTAGAATTCAATCTCCTGCTTTCTAGCCTAGAATTTTTACCATTACATCAAATTGGCTCTCTCACTACACCAAACTATATTTCATGGCTTTCATGAAATAAACTGCCAGTGTTCCCCATAAAACCCTTATGTAGATAGCATTTTTGTGAGGAAAAAATGGTGTACTATGTATATCATCTTGAGCTTCTGAATGGAAGGAGGGATATAAATCCAACAAATAATTAGAGGTGGTGAAAAAAATATCCTTGAGAAAATACAGTGTTTTTTTGATAACTATTTCTATAGTCAAACGACAGATATGTATAAGCTTCTGTGGCAGTGAAATCTTCTAGCCAGCACTTCTTCACATGTATTTATGAAATCTATACCTACAAATTGCTCTAAAATGTTTTACTGTTTACATGTATGGAACACATCACAGTGTGCTGTAGGGGTTAAGGTGTTGCATAAGGAGCATGGAGGCCCAAGTCATTCAGCCATAGAATCCACTGAAACTTATTTGATCATATTGGGTCAAATCGACCAGGTCACTAGCTCGAGAGAAAAGGGTCTGGGATGTTTTAAGATCTTGAGGCAATGATATTTTTAAAATCTCATCAGCATGCCCCTTTGGAAGTTCAAATGAGTCCTTACTTCCATATTGTTGTTGTTAGTTGCGAAGTCGTGTCCGACCCATCGCAACCCCATGGACAACGTTCCTCCAGGCCTTCCTGTCCTCTACCATCTTCTGGAGTCCATTTAAGCTCACGCCTACTGCTTCAGTGACTCCATCCAGCCACCTCATTCTGTCATCCCATTCTTCTATTGCCCTCAATCTTTCCCAGCATTAGGCTCTTCTCCAGTGAGTTCTTCCTTCTCATTAGGTGGCCAAAGTACTTGAGTTTCAACTTCAGGATATATAGTCTTAGTCATTTTAGTTGAGAGACATGGTAAGACAAAGAAAACAATCATCATTTGTGCTATGTTTACATGGAATTGGTTTCTGTAAAAAAGCCTCTTTTTTCTTGTTTCTCAGAAAGTCTATACTTGGAATCTCCTTTGGAGCTGCCTTTCTGCTGCTGTCCTTCATTCTTTTCATCTGCTTTGCAGGACAGCTTTTGGTAAGTGTTCAATGCATACTGATTGCAAAAGGCAAATCTTTCAGCATAAATAATTGGGCTCAAACAGCTTTGTTACTTCTTCAAGACTGCTTTCTCTTACCAAACAGCATATAATCTCTGTCAGGTACTTAATTAAGAAATGAGATCTTAGATGACTTTTTTTCTTGCTGTTATTTACATTTTATTTAGTTTTCTGATATGCATTTATTTATATTGAGATATTGCTACACAACACTGGAAATGTAAGAAATTCAAATTGCGCCTTTCTTATCTAATTTATTTAATGGAATGTTATTGTATCCTAAAAAGTTCTGATATTAATTTACTGGTGATACCATATTAAGCACTCCAAGTTTTATTTGCTTTCTATCATGTGAGAAGTGTAAAGAATATAAATGTGATTTAACTTTTTGAAAAATAATGCTAATTTTAAATCAATGCCATGAAAATATGCTGTTAAAAATTATTATGACTAGGAGGGCTGCACAATACTTTCAAGCAGCAGCATATTTTTCTGGAACTGTATGTTTCTGGGGAAAAGCACAGTTCTGTTTAGGTGTTGTAAACAGATAAATACTACATTGCCATTTGCATGTTCTCTGAAGCACCTTTTGGAGGTCAAATCTGAAGTTCTACACAGCCTGAAATGCTAGACGACTAGGCTTCCATGTAATGCCACAGATTGCTTTGAAACTGAATGACACTTGCTTTTAAGCCTCCAGATTTAGACACTTAGCTCTATGCAACATGGCTCACAAATGTTTTATTTTTCAAAAAAGCATCCTTGATGCTAAAATTAGTTTTAAATGTTGTTGGGTTAGCATAAGAAGTTGTGTCTCCTCTCTTCTTATAAAAACTAAGTCAATATTCATGTACCTGTAATATGAAGCTTACTTGTAGAAGATTCTTTAAGCAGATTCCAGCTTAAAATGTTGCTTACTGTTTCCCACAAAAAAATAGAAGGGCTTAAATAAATGCTCTTTCTGCTTAAAACAGCCACAGATAGCACCTCTTGGCTCTAGTGTCACAGAGATTCTTAGCAATGAGACTTGGCTTATATTCTTCACCACCACCACCCTGTAATATCTTCACAAGGTTTCTGGGGAAAATTGAAAATATTTGCCAGGGCATATAGCTTGTTTAGGTACAATGAATTCTTATATTTTTAGAGAAGAAAAACAGACTTGCTTTCTTAAAATGGAATCTAGTGGCAACCATTTTTAAAAGCTGTTTACTTCTAAGTTTATACATCAATTTATGGCTGGAAAATGGAAACTGACATACCTAAATCAAATAAAATTGTTTGGCTTTCTTCTCCGGAGCTTCTGTTAGTCCTTACTGCATCTCCAAATTGAGCAAAAAGCAAAAAAAGAGCTACATGATAGGGAGCAAGACATTGGGAAGGAAAGACAACCCAAAACATAATGAAAATACAGTAGCAATAGAAAACCATTCCTAAGCCATGTTAGGCAAAATAAGATTGGTTTGGAATAAAAGTATAGCATTGGATAATTCTCTAGAAAAGAGTTTTTGTTTGTGTCTGATTTCTGCCTTTTGTGACCATACTAACATATAAGTTCCCTTTTTGTTCTGCCACCATCATATTATAAATAGGCAAAGAAATTTTTAGAAATGGTTACGTACACAAAAGCGTCATTTTGAATTCTAGATGGTTGAATATCATTAACAGCATCTTGGCTTCCCTAACAACACAATCCTTCTGTAGTCAAATCAAGTAAGTTTATTACAGTCAAGGACCAGAGACCAGAACAAGTTAAAAACACTAAAGGATTAATCCTTCTGTATAAATTATAACAATTGGAATCATTGAAATATATTTTTCTTTTATGGGAAATTAAAACAAAGTCTCTCTTAGTTGTCTGGTTTAATTATATTTTTGCAACTAACTGCAATTAAATTTTTGAACACTAAAGATAATTTACTATGCCTTTAAGTTTTTTTTCCTTAGAAACTAAATAAAGTTTTACCAACCACAGTATGACTTCTAAAATTTACATCTTGGAATGACATCAGTACAAGGATTACTAATATTGCTGTCTTCCTAGCTGGACAATTTTCAAAGTAAATTGTTGGTGGATATGACATAATAATGTCATATCAACTATGCCTTATATCAGGGGTGGCGAACCTATGGCACGCGTGCCAGAGGCGGCACTCAGAGCACTCTCTGTGGGCACTCTTGCCATGCCCCGGAGATAGCAACCATCCCTCTTCAACCAGCCGCCCGCTAACTTGCCGAGATCCCACATGGCTGGATGCATCCCAGCACCCATGCGCTCGCTGGTCTCCATGTGCAGGGGCTGATGGTGTCAGGCAGCAGCCTCCCCGGCCCCTGCCTCACCTTGCCCTGTGACAATGGCACCCCCGCCCTGCCTCGCCTTGCCTCACCCCACAGGACGAGCCTCCTGCCCACCTGGATCTCCCCCAACTCTGCCCGGCCCCCACAGGCATCCCTTCCCACGAGCAACATTGAGGTGATTACGCCCACCTTGGCCACACCCACCCAATCTACCATGACTACCACAGCCGCGCCCACCCAGTGGGCCACGCCCACCCGGCACCCAACGATAAATAAGTGGGTTTTGGGTTGCAGTTTGGGCACTCGGTCTCTAAAAGGTTCGCCATCACTGCCTTATATGGTCTTTTATACCTTATATGGTCTTTGGCAAAGAAAGATAAAGACTCCTATAAGCTGAACTTGATTCTTAGTTATTTCATGGGACATTATGCAAATAGCTTGCCATTGCCTTCTTCCATGCCTTTATTATCTTTATGACTGATGAAAATAGATTGGATAAGACGGTCATAGTAGCTGAGATGTTGGTGATTTCAACATAAGGTATTGCTTTTTTTTACCTGAAAGGTATTTCTTTAGATCTGTAATTTTACTTATTCCAATGCCTGTGATTACTAGTCAAATCTTTTAAACTAAACTTTTTGCCATTAAAAGCTGAACTAAAACCAAATGGATTTAGCATAATATTCATAAAAGCTAGCAATATCAAAATGATTTATGTCAGAGATAGAAAATAAGCAAAAAAAAAAAAGATATTCTGCTTAGGTATTATTCCATCCTAGACTGCTAGGCAATCCCAGTATATATTCATAGCATAGACTAAGGTTGGGTAACAATCTAGTACTCATTGTTCTCATGATCCTTCTGAAGTTCTCCTTCCAAAATTTAGTGATTCAAAACCAAAGGCTACTTAGGTGGAAGATACAATGAGGATGTACCCCATTGGTTTGCCTAAATCCCTGCTTTCTGTCAAAAGATTCTGTACTATTATCCCCAAATAAGATGGTTTTCTTTCTCAAAAGTACAAATCAGAGATGAGGGAACGGCATTGTTATGGATTTCCTGTACACTTGGTTGCCCTTGTAAAACATGACTATATGAATAAGGAAATAATTGCTGGTATTATCCCAGATCCACCTTCCCTCACTGGCTAAGCTGGAGAAACTACCATGATTTACCCAAGAGCGATTTTGTAGTTTTGTGTATTTGTATTCTGAGTTGCTTAGGGAATGGCTGTGGTAGAATGTTTCTACAAAGGGGGAAGTAACGTGATGGACTACAATTATCAGGTTCCCAGGAAGAAGGGAGCATATTCCAAGAAGGGAGGTGATACAAGAGACAGCACGGTCCCAAGCTGGGTCATATGAAGAAGAAGAGATTTAGGATAGCAATTCCCTAGAACTTTGCATTAGGTTAATAAATTTAGTCTGGCAAGATTCTATCTGTATGATGTAAGCAATAAAAAACTGAACGTTGGCTGGGTTTTGGTTACAGTGCTCTTGGGCTAAGTCTGACAGTGGCCCAGTCAAGTGCCAGCCCTAGGAGAGCTTTCTACCATCAGTGTTCCCAGGGAAGTCCTCTGCAGTGTATTAGGGAGCTGGGAATGGAGATTAAGATCCACTTTCATCTTCATTTTAAAAGGAGGAACTTCCAATCAAGTGAATGCTATAGTCAGAGGGATCTCAGCATTTTCTCTGGAGTTTTATCTTGATAACTATTTAATTACTACTACTGGAATAAAAACAGTGATTATCTTCTATTTTGCTGTCAAAGGGGTTGGTTGTAGATCACTGGGATGGAAGTCAAAAAGTTCTGCACTATCTTCTCTCCAAGGCAACAGCTTCAGTGATTGAGGAGTATGTCTGTTTTCATAAAGAGTTTTGGGTGTATTGAAAAGATATTAAAGCTACAGTTAATTCAGAATACAGTTAAGTACCAGAATAGAATATGTCAGATGGAAGTCCATGGAAGTCTGTTGAGACATCCACAACTGATTTAATGATGTATAATAAAACCATTTAGGACAAAATTGTAGACTAAGAATTTCAGTGTCATCAATCGGATTTACATGTAATGGGATTTTGAGAACAAGAGGAGAAAGACAAAGCTGTCACTTTTGTGGAAGCCCTAATACCTAGAGTATTATTCTTGCAAGAAGAATTTTAATCAGCTGAAAACTAAGAGAGCTCATCATGTTTCAGCATCTCCATTTTGTTCCTCTAATAAGCATTAGTTATTTATTGTTAAGTTTATTGTATTTGCTGGAGGGATGAAATATTCAAAGAGCTGTTGAATTTCAAAGGACAAAGTTTTATGTTATGTTATTTCTAGAAAACAAAAATGTGTTTTGCATTGTGTGTGAGAAAGTTTCAGAGCTATATTACATATGCAGCAAATCTTATTCTTCAGTTTCTGGACAGAAGCCAATGATCTGTTCAAAACATCTTGCAGATGAAGAAAAACGTCTTATTGTTTTCAGTTCTTCCTTTAGTAGCATTGGTGAAATAAAATTTCTACAAGTTTTGTTATTGTGTCTGCTAATAATTCTGGACAATATTTCAGAAAAATGAATAATTTGGAATTAGCTAGTCAGGTAACAAACAACCAAACTCAGAGAGCACCAAGGACTCCATAGTGTCTACTAATAGACCACTAGTTACATTCTGTGAAATTTCTGGTCCAA